ATTGTTCGATTGTTTTATTAGTTGCGTCGTTCGTCGTGAATGCCATAACACTTGCCATTCAACAGAACGAGTGTTCAAATCATCTGAGACAAAACTTTTATGTTAAACTTCTTGAAGCGTTCCACCGAGAACTTTTTCTGTTGGTATGTACTGGACTCATCGAAATGCGTTGTCATAAGAAGCGATATGATCGCCTTTTTAATGTGGTACACAAAGAGCAAATCTTTGACATGAATGTCGCATTGCAAATTGCATCCGTTCAAAGGAAAGTGTGCAACATGTAAACAATCTTCAAATGAGTTCGTTGAATTTGAAAATGTCGTTCATTTAAAGATCACTTCTGAACACTCATATTGAAAATTCCAAATCATCTTTGCAGTGATTATTCAGCAACAGTTCTTCACTCAAATAAATCCGTTGCAATTTTATGCGAGTTTTTAAGTTAACCTCTCTGCTTTAGGTCGTTGCCGCTTGAATGTAATGCTTAACAAGCAAAATGAAACAAAAATGTCCAATAGAGTGCCACGCCCAATGATTGTGTTTTTGCTCTTCGTTCACGTCATGAACACAGATTCTCTTATAGAACTTCCTTTCAAAGCATCCTATTCGGTATTTTATTTCTGCCCAAACCATTCAATTTGCTCTTCCGTTATTCAGTCATCGTTTGAGTTGAGCATATCCTTTTTCACAGAATCTCATAAGTTTCAGTAGAAATATGTACTTCTCATCGAAATCACGCAATACCCAATTGAGCGTCTCATTCTGTCATCATTTAACGACAGTTATCACAACGACTACGTTCTGTGTAATAACAGAAAATGTCTTCGATTTCGCTACGACCAGCGAATCAATCCATTGGAATCATGAATATCCTTCCTTAGAATAATTCATCGAAATCAAGCAGTAAAACAAATTTCCACATCTTTTGCGCAATTAAACCGCATTTTAACGAGTTTCTCTATGTATCGCACACGTAACACAGAAGTATAATTTCGGAATGACCAAAGAGCATATCTTCACCTTAGAATACTTCAGTTATTGCGCGCTCTTCTTTTTCATCTTCATTCGAACGTCGCTCGATGCTGAATTTTTGAATGTAAAAAAAGTTTCAGTGAAATTTTGATGGCGGAATGATTTGCATACTGATATTTGAGCGTTTGAAATGAATATCATAGTACTATGTGACGCATACTTTTCGAATAAACATAGCCAACTAGGCATACTTAAACGACATACAAATGCGCACATCTCGTTTGATGACACAAACGCTTGGAGCCATTCCTCTGAAATTAGTGCTTGACTTCATGTTGAATGGGTGTCATTCTCAGCAATTCACGAGGCGTGTATTCGTCGATTTATTTTGATCCTATATCACTAGTTTGTCAAAGCTTCAGTAGTTATTGAGCAGTGAAACAATGACTGATCCCTTCACTTTTTTTGACATACCCAAACGTAGCAGCTATCCCTGAACATCAATCCCTAAGACTGCGTTCACTATCTGATTCTACATCTATTGTAGAGAGTGCTGTTGAATGATATGAAACATGAGTGACTTAAGGTGCTACAAACAGATGGATAAGCATTAATGACAATAAACTGATACCACCACGAGACTGTGCACTTACTGGATGAGCGTATGCTTTCGAAATGCTTCGTCTCCTATTGCTTGTTGTCACATCTTCGATGCTCTTCCCTGCAGCCACTGGCTCACATCTCATTTGTGCCAGTCAATCAAGGTTAATGTTCTTTTGGTTCTGATTGTCATAATCGCATCAGTTCTATGAATGCATAAATTGTTCCTGTCCTTTCATGATTGTAATGACTCATGGAAATGAGAAAATGTTTCGGAAGAAGATTTTTGTTTCGAACAATTTTCGAACAAAAAATGTTTCGAACAACCGCCTTCAGCAGTGCATTTCGACAATGATATTATCGTAGCTTCGATAAACATTATGTTTTTTGACGCTGCAATGCGATGATGATTCAATAAATACGATCGGTAACTTTGCGAATAAAAACGTAATCCAATATATTAGGAAGTCGATAATAAATTCACATTTGTTTGCTCAGTGTTTAAGCCAAAGCGGATCAATTTTTTCTTCTAAAATGCAAACCGGATTAGTTCGTAGTCACCAAGACCCATCAATTTCCAAACCATCGTTTCACTTCACCACACATAATCATTGCTATTGCAATGGCCTCCTAGTGAGGGTAGGTGAGAAAAGTTAGTAAAAGCAAAGATTTTTTGTCATGATTCTGCCTCTTTCATACGACGATAAGCTGGAAAAAAAAAAGAAGTGAAGTGCCCCTTTGAAGAATGTAACCCTCAGTGAAGCGGTCCTAACGGATGGCAAATGTTGCTAATCTGCGCTTAAATGAGCTGAACAAAACAATTTTTTAATAATTCATTTTTCACTATGTGGTTTCTTGAAACAGTTTTTACGTTTTCGATTCATGACTTTTTTGTGCATTCGCTAAAAAGCGCATTTTATGGGTCATCCCAGACAGACATCAATGTACAGTAATTAATAATATCCTAGTAATCACAGTAAGTAATTAATATCCTCGATTGGATATGACCCTCGTTTGGATGGAACCCTTCGACACTCTTACATATTTTTCCTTGAGTTA